GGGGGGTGGTTTCATGTGAATAGAGTCTTCGTTACGGTGACATCTAGCAACGCTTGAACCGTAATGCCCACTTTGACCAAGCCTTTCTCTTCAAGGATGTGATGGGGTAGACACAGTTTTTCCTAAAAGGAAGAAGAACAAAACATCAATTTTTAGATGATCAGACTCCTCGTCGTGAAGTCCTGCTATACCGTTGATGGAGTTTAAGCTGAGCACTCTCTATAACATGCCTGTTTGATCGCCTTGGTCTATGCCCCTTCCCTAACTTTCGACCCATTGCAAAGACCTGTGCTGTGTTTGCAGAGAAAGTAACGATTTTTCACATGTGAGAATTGTTTCAGAAAGCCTCCTAATTATCTTGAAATCTGCACTAGATCTAAATATTAAACTTTTACACTAAATAACTGAGCTCCATAGAGTTGGCTGAAAAACACATCAAAAATATAATAGGTTCTATTCTGATAAAGCAAAATTGCAAATACCCTCCAACACATTTTAAAGGAACTCAAATATTCATTTATACTGACCACACACCGTTCTACTGACCAGAGACCTTGATTTAATTCATTTTATTTCCTGTGATCTCTGGGATACAGGCATGTTGACGGACCGTCCTTTCTTTAATTTTAACGAGAGCCCTCAATAGCCTCTCTTTTAAGATCTTCATAAAACTGTCAAAGACACAAATGACCTGCTCCTGGCTCATGTTGCATTTTTGTTCTTGGGAAATACTGCTCAAGGAAAATAATAAATGTGAGTCCCTTCTTGCATGTAGAACGTTTCACGCTCCACACGACAGTTTACAAAAGAACATGAAATAATTTCACACCTTTGTTATTTGGCCCTGGTCTGATACCATACAAAGCAATCTCCTTCCGGGGTGTGTCTCCCTGGCTGGGAAAAGACTCCGAGCAAATACCTTCTCTTCTCCACCTAACGATAGCATGTTCTCCACAGCCCAGTGTTGTTTCTTTTCTTTCTTTAATTGACAAGTAAAAACTGTATTTACTGATGGTTGTACAACACGGTATTTTGATAAAAGTATACATTGTGGAATGGCTAAATCAAGCTAAGTAACATATCTATTATCTTGAATACTGATTTTTTTGTGGTGAGAACACTTAAAATCTACTCTTAGCCATTTTCACGTATACAACACATTATTATTAACCACAGTCACCATGTTGTACAATAGATCTCCTGCACTATTTCCTCCTGAGTGAGATTCTATATCCTCTGACCAACGTCTCCCCATTCCCCCTGACCTCCCCGCCCAGCCTCAGTATCCACCATTCTACTCCTTGTTTTTGTGAATTCGACTTTTTCTGTTGTTGGCCCAGAAGGCAGAGAATTCAAGTTAGATTCCGAATATTAGATTTGTCACGTATTCGTGAGATTTATCAGTATTTGTCTCTGAGTGCCTGGCTTATTTCACTTAACATAATGTCTTCTAGGTTCATCCATGTTGTTGCAAAGGACAGGATTTTTTTCTTTTTTAAGGCGGAAGAGTGCTGTTACTAAGGAGAGTTTAAATGGGATCTGTGTGAAGCCCCGGTGGCAGTCGGCATTTAGCAGGAGAATCAGAGTGCTCTGTGCAGGAGGGCTGCCTTCCCCGCGACTCGACTCCTGCTTGAGGACCCAGACCCCTCTGCCGCCCCGGCGTAGGACTCTCCGTAAGTTGCCACCGATACAGGCACTCTGCGCTTAGAAAGATCTTCGAAGGACATGCCACAACATCTCCAGTAACTTGCTCCACTGTCTCGAATACCAGTGGGTCCTACACTCTCTCGCCATTCTACTGTCTCCCTCCTGTCCCCCTTCCCTAACTCGTGGTAAATTCAGAGAATCTCAGACTTTGACCCAGGCCTGAGGAAATGGCCCGGTCGACATAAGACAGCTGCTTGTATAAAGCACCATTTCTAACCATGATTTCATGTCACTGCTATGTATCAAAATAGCACTATTTTGTCAATGGCGTATTAGGTGAGCATGCCAGTTTATGTCACCGTGAGAAAGAATGGGAGGTTCTGTCTGGGCTGCAGCCGGGCTGCTAGGGATGGTGTCTCCTTTTGTGGGACAGTGAAGGACATCTGCAGCCAGACATCAGCGTCTGGCCTTGCCTGGCACCATCTGCTTGTGAAGTCACCTGAATCTGGCATTGCATTGCTAAGGAGGGTCCCACAGGGGCAGGGAGGTGTCTTCTTCATTCTTAGGGCTCCCGCAGCACCCAAGTCAACATCTGGCTTGGCAGGACATTATAAATGGCTGCTAAGTACAGCTCAGCTCCTGCTGCCGGCATTACTTGGAGAAAATAGGTCTTCTCTTAATACCATATGCTAAAGTCAATCCCAAATACAGTAAAGAGTTAAATGTGAAGGAAAAAAATCCAAAACACGCCTCCCAGGAACATAAAGGTGAATATTTAATATTTTCTCTGATAAACGGATGAGAAAGGATTTTCTAAGCTAAAAAAAAGGCAGTTATTAAAAAAATCACAAAGGAAAAGATCAAAATAACTGATTGCTTAAATACTTAACGCTTCCATGTGTCAAAAGAAAACCCGCAAATGAATGATAAACAACAAACTGCAAAAAAGTATATGCATCAAACCACAAAGGGTTTTATATGACACATAAACTCAACCAAATCAGTAAGAAAAACACCGAGAGCACTAAAACAATGGGCAAGAAATGTAGATAGAAATTTTCAAATGACGGGTTTGCCCAAGGCAGTGGAGCCCGACGGACTCAGCGCTTCTCAACCCCAGTGCTTACTTATGTTTGGTCCTGAATGTGCCTAAATTCTAGTACTAACATTTCCACTGAGCCTAACCTCTATGTACAACATGGCTTTTACGGGGCAAGGTGTCCTGTCCCGACTTTGACAGGATGATGGGAGAGCGGCCCTTCCGCGACAGGGAGGACTGCCCCGTGCAGGAATGAGCGGTGGCTCCCGTGGTCTCCGGGGTTCTAGGCTGGAGGGCACAGGAGGGAAGGGCCGGGGTCTCCTGAGTGTCAAGAATGGGAAGGTATTGAGGCCTCTGCCTGCCACCAACAGGACAGTTAGTGGCTTCACAGATTGGCTTGGGTTAAGGTTACTCTCTTTCCCAGGCCTTTCTTTTTCCAACCAGCATTTTTCACCTTCCCGGCCTTGGCACTCGTAAGCCAGGTACAGGGTGTGAGAATCTTCCTCCCACCTTTGCAGCTAGTGATTAGGAGTAAACAGAAGACATAAAAAAGGTACACCTTGCATCCTTCCTGCCTTTCTTTTCATCCAGACCCCTGAAGAAGCCCAGAGGTGCCCTTTGTTGGGGTTGGACGTCCCTAAGAAGACGAGCATAGGAAAAGAGAAGCCTTATACAAGCACGGCAGTTCTGGTTGTTTTATCACAGCAAGAGGGGGTGCAGGGAGACTTTGAGGGGAATCACACTGGAGGTGCTGGCTGGAAGGGTGACCAAGGGGAGCATGCCAGAAATGGGGAGGAAGAGAAGAGCTGTCCATGGAGCAGGCAGGTGAGGTGGCCTTTCCAGAAGACCCCTTGTACATAACGGACTTACAGGAGAGACAGCTGTGCATTTGTAAGACTTGAAATGGACTTAAGTTGCATTGTTATAGGATCCTAGAGGTTTTCATTGAGATGTGACAGCAGACTCTTAGTATACCCATGGACTGCCTTCATTGTGTTTCTTTTTAAAGCAGAAAGTGGAGTCATGAAGTAATATCTTGCATAAAAATAATGCTTCTGAACCCTATGAAGAACTCAGGCTTCGTGTTACTTCTCCAATGGTGGAATTTATTAGGTTCCCCTCATTCACCCTTCACCCTTCTGAGCCACACTTAATGGTGTTAGAAAAGATAGCAAGCAATAAAGACTAAATGCTAACTTTGAAAAACTTTTTGGGTACTTCCTATACGCCTGGCACCAATGCTACGGATTTGCACTGGTTATTTCTTTGTGACAATCCTGCAAGGCAGACATTAGTATCTCCACTTTACAGATGAGAAAACTGAGACAGAGAGAGTTCAAGTAACTTTTCTAACATTACACAGCTGGTAAGTTCTGGAACCTGGATTTGAGCCATACGTGCCTGATCTTAGAGCCGGGGCTCTTTCTATGACATCATGTCACTTCCCATAAATTCCTTAATCAACAGATGAGTATGTTCAGTCTGTGTTCATGATACAGGAAGAGGTCCCTTGGTCCCCGGAGTTCTTTGATGGCAAGTCCCATCAATTTCAACATCGGGTGGGACCAGCGAATCCTCAACTCAGGGGCAGGGTTGTGTCTGCCACTCTGCTCGTTTGCCTTCTCTTCATAGGGAGGGACAGACATCTTGTCCCAGCAGAAAGTGTACTTGGGGAATAGGCAGAGCTGTCGCTGCCTGGCTTTCCTCTTTCTATAGTTTCTTATGCTCCCAAAGAGACACACGCCTACTTCCAGGCCAACAAGTAGACTAAAGTGAAGTCACTCACACCAGCATATTTCATTTTGTTCAGTCTGCTTCTTAAATGCAAAGTCCTGGCATTAAATTGAGCCTTAAAATAAAACTGTCTGTGCAATATCTTAATGTAAGAGAATTTCAGCTTTCAGCTCTGCCACTGAGGGTCATTCTCTTCCAATGTAGAATGGAAACCTTGTCAACCTCTTACAGACTGAGGGGATTTCTTGTCACCTCTCCCTGAGTTCTTCACTTTGCAGCCGTACTACCTTCTAGTCCTCCTGTTCCCTAGAACATTTCATTCTCCACACACACCTACCCCTTCACTATCCTTCCTCCCTCCCCTCCTCCTCCACCTGGGTATTCCTACACCTCTTCTACTAAGACTCAGTGTAAACGTCACTGTCCTAGGGAGCCTTCACAGTCCCCTGCGCCCCATCGGGGTCAGGTCCCCTTTCCATGTGTTTTAGAGAATCCTATACCTGATCTGAGACAGGTCCTTATCACCTGAATTCCTTTTCATTTGTCAGATCAGGGGCATGCAAACTGGCCTGCAGGCTCACTCAGCCAGCAGCATGTTTTTGTAAATAAAGTTTTACTGGCACATGGCCATGCCCATTCATTTATGTATCATCTATGACTGCGTTCATGCTGCAAAGGCAGAGTTGAGAAGTCCCAACAGAC